AACCCACCCCCACCCACCCCGAAGGGGCCCCCGCCGCTGGCCAAGGCCGAGCCCATCAGCAAGTGGTGGTAGTGCCTCTGGGATAGCATAGTTAAGAAGGGCGGGGTGGGGGGGAAACTGTGGGAGAGAACTGCAGCCGGAGAGAGGAGTGGGACTATATGAGAGAAACAGCCCTGCAGACACCAAGGTCAGTGAAGGAGGAGAGGGAGGAGGTGGTCCATGTGCCAGAGTAGAGATTCTCCTGCAGTCCGTGGAGGTCTATGGTGGAGCAGAGATTGACCCACAGCCCGTGGAGGACCCCGTACTAGAGCCGGTGGATGTTCAAAGGAGGCTTTGACCCTGTGGGAAGCCTGTGCTGGAGCAGGCTCCTGGCAGCGCGTGTGACCCCATGGAGAGAGGAGCCCGTGCTGGGGCAGGGTTGCTGGCAGGGATTGGGGCCCTGTGGGGGCCCACACCGGGAACAGTCTGTTCCTGAAGGACTGCACCCTGTGTAAGGGACCCACGCTGGAGCAGTTTGTGAAGAACTGTAGCCCATGGGAAGGACTCGTGTTGGAGAAATTCATGGAGGACTGTCTCCCATGGGAGGGACCTCAGGCTGGAGCAGGGGAAGAGTGTGAGGAGTCCTCCCCCTGAGAAGGGAGGAGTGGCAGAGACAACATGTGACAAACTGACTGCAACCCCTGTTCCCCGTCCCCCTGCGCTGCTTGGGGGGAGGAGGTAGAGAATATTGGGAGTGAAGTTGAGCCCAGGAAGAAGGGAGGTTTGGGAGGAAGGTGGTTTAAGATTTGTTTATATTTTCTCATTACCCTGTTCTGACTTTTGAATGGTAATAAATTGAACATTTCCCTCAGTCAGGTTTGGTTTGTTACTGTTTTGACAGTAACTTCTGAGTGATCTCCCTGTCCTTATCTCGACCCACCCGCCTTTCATTACGTTTTCTCCCCTGTCCAGCTGAGGAAGGGAGTGACGGAGCGGCTTGGTGGGCACCTGGTGTCCAGCCAGGGTCAACCCACCGCAGTCATATACGTACATGCACAGGTGGACGTGCAGAGGTCCAAGGATTTCCAGCGTCTTGAGGCAGCTCTGTATTCATGTACTTGAGCATGGTCAGTGAGTTTAGTGCTGTACAGGGAATGAAAATAAATTACGATCCCGGCTAGAATCTCTCGGGCCCTAGTGTCTGCCGCAGAATAGTCGGGAGTGACTCGAGCTTGGCACTGGAAAACCTTCCCAGTTCCCTTGGAC